GTTTTTCAAGTAAGATCCACTAAAAGTTAATGAGTATGTTCAAGTTTTTTTGTTGATAAACTAATAGTCGCGAACTCTACGAACAATCGTATAAAAAAAATCTTAAAAATGTATAATAAAGTTACACAACTTGCTTATCAACGAAGTAAAAAAAGGCGTGAAATTACATATAAAATCACTTGGCAAAATGATCAGCACTATATGTAACACCATTTGCTACTCAAAATTGGAGAAATGCGTTGCGATTGTTAGTAAAAAAAGCATTTCCGAAGCTGCAGAGGCGTTTTTTACTATGTTTTTCTTAATAAAAATGCACCTGTTACTAAACTTACTTTGTCAAAGCTATCTTTGAAATTTTTTAGTGCAATTATTAATGATTTTCTTAATTAAAACTTTGGAATAACTTTATTTAATATATCATTATAATAATTATAAAAAAATTTATATTTGATTTGATTTGATTTGATTTGATTTGATTAAATTTGAATTTGATTTGATTTGATTCGATCAAATATTTGATTTGATTTGATTTGATTTGATTCAAAAAAATTCAAATTGCTTCAATATTTGATTCGATTAGATTTTGAGGAACCCTACCCATTTGAAAAGATACTTGACTTCTATTTCAACAAATTTTTTGATTAGGAATTAGTATAAATACCTGCTCTTTGCTAAAATTATATCCTTTTTGAAAGCGTTGTCAACCCTTATCTCTTTTTAGTTTATCTGTTAAAAGCTTGAGTAATATTAGGGCATGTTGGCTAAGTTCTTCATTACTCATATCTTTATTGAGTATGTGCTCTATAATATATTTTGTTACAATCATAAACATGGTAATGTAAATATAAATTATAGAGTAACCACTAGATTATGCTCAACTGTTAGATTATACTATACATAAAAAAGTTCAATTTGAAAAAATATTCTGTCATTTCATTTCACTACCTTAAAGTTAGTGAAAACTATCAGAGGGATAGAGAAATGAAAAAAATATATAACTTATGCAGAGGTTTCATTGAGGCTACCTGCTTGGTCTGGAATAGGTTTACTTCAATTTTTTATATTTTAAATTAACTTATCAATGATGATTATTTATCATGAAAATCTTTTAAGAAACATACATTAATATGCGTGATCCTTCTAAAGTTAAAACAATTGATATTGATAAAGTAATATTAACAAACAATTATAATACACATAAAATTGGCATATAACTTTATGGAATCTATTGGGCTATAAACTTACTTTATTTTATGATATTGATGTTCATAAAAAAAGTTTACTAGAAAATTCCTTAACTACATGTTTAGCATATTTGCGTTTAGGGAATAATAAGCTAACACCTATTCAGAAGCCAGTTCTGCTAATAGATGATGTCAAAAAATTAATTCTTGATAATTTTTGTTATTTATTAAAAGAACCATATAATGAAGTTTAAGTCAAAGAAACCAAAGACAGACTCTTATCACGTTTTTTGATTACTTTTAACAATTTTAATCCTGTTACAGGTGAAAAGAAAACTGAAAGATTTTGGTTAAATTGTAGTTAAATATTTTCTTATAATAATATCTACTATTTATTAATAGTACTATATAGTAACACAGATCAATATAGAAAATTGAGATGCAAGCATTAGCTCTTGTGAAAACTCAAATAGGAGATTCAATTAAAACTGATCAGAAGTTGTCAAATAATATTTTATTCATATACTGAATCAACTGCTCAATTTATTACCATAATATACCATTCTTCTGGAGTATTCTTGCCATTTTTTCCATTTTTCTTAGGTATCAAGCCAGGAGGATGTAACTTCTTTATCCTCAATATCACAATGTATTATTTCTTCTTCTATTAGTCTTTCCTATACTTTCATGTTCATATGTTCTTTGGAATCTTCTTCCATTTTTTCTGCATAACCACACATTCGAGCGTCAGTTTTTATCCTATTCTGAAATATAATGAAATCAAGCCTATCTTTTTTAGTGATAGTTACAAAAACATCTGGATTTTCACTGAGTTTGATTGCTTTTTTTCTAAGACGTTTTTCTTGCTAAGCCCTAGCACTTTTTTCAACCATAGGTCTCATAAGATTGTTACTTTCAGATTTGATTGACTCATTGATTATAGATAAATTAGAAGAAAAATCAGGTTTAGGTTCTGCAAGTATGAGTTCAGGTTTGAGATCGTTCACTTTAGATATTTTGGCTGTCTTGAATAACGAAATAACTGAAGGTGTAACTTCTACTGTTACATAATCGAAAAGAGCCTAGGTCAAATTGTCCTGATTACTAGCCTTCTTATCTTTACTAATACTAGATGAAGACTTATCCTTTTCTGGCTAAGACAGAATTATTTTTGAAGAAATAATTTCTGGCACATTAAATATAGATGTGTCTGTAGTCTCATTTTCAGGTAAGTCAGGTTGAGGTATATCAGAAAATTCTTTTATATCATCTAGGCCAGATTCACAAAGCTTGGCTATAATTTTAGGGTGATTGAGAATATAATACCACTCTCTTTTTCCACTACCTACCCATTTGCACTCAATATTATTAATCTTCTCCAATAATTTTTTTATCAAATATGTTGTTAGAAAATGGTTTTTCACTATTGCTTCTAACCATTCAAAATATTCTTGATACAATACATTGCAACTTGACTTGGCTACTTTATTTTCAGGTTAAAATGCAATATGATCAATTGTAAATGGTATAGGATTAGGAAGTTGATTCTGCATTATATCTTCTTCATTTTAGTATTGGGAATATCTTGTGGTTTATAATTTGAGAGGTTATGACTAAAAAGATATTTCATGACTATTCCTAATGCATCAGGATGGTCTAAAACCCTAGACAAGTAATCAAAATATATAAAATTTCCTCTACAGCATGATGATATATCAAAACAAACTATACGAGAATCTCCTATATCTACTTTGAATAAAGCATTATGATTACTTATAATCATCCACCCAGAAAAGTCTCTTAATTATAAAGTTTCATTCTATATATACCTTTCCAGTAATTATGAATTCTTTAAAATGTGAATTAAACTTATGCTATTTCTCACTAGACATCACTGTTTCATTTAAAATAATGAGTTTGCATCCTTGAAGGGAACTGTTGAATTTACCAAGAATTTTTCCAAATCTGATGTAGCAAAATGAAGATGCGATCCTAAGATTTTATCACCAATAAAATCAGTGATAATATTTTTCTGCACTGTTATAATATACACTGATCGAAATCAAAAAAATCGGCCATGTAATAAATCGGCCTAAAATTGGCCTAAAATCAGATATCATCAAAAATCAGCTAAAATCAAGCTATTCGATTTATAGCTGATTTGGTATATATCAAGAATCGACCAAAATTTGCCTGTTCGATTTCTAGCCGATTGATATATATCAAAATTAGCCAAAATTCAACCTATGCTAATTGAAATACATTAAAAATCAGTCAAAATTCAACCATCTGATTTATAGCCGATTGGAATACGAATTGGCCAAACTTCAACATATTTTATTTATAGCCGATTGGAATAATCAGATTTATTTGATAAATTTGAATATTACTAATTTTATCAATGAAAAAATAAAATTCAAAGAAATTGCATTTATAAATGATATTTTCTATTAATAGGATTGATGGCCAAATATTCATTTGCATTTCGTCAGGTTGAAATTTGATAGTTTACTAGCACAAATCGACCTAAAATATGATGAACTGGTATAATACAATCACGACTTTCTGGGTAAAAATCGGTATCCATAATTCGACATTATATGTTTCTTCATCATAGTGGAAATAGTATTGAATATTTGGAGAAACTGCAGGTTGATACCAGCGAATGTATGCTAGAAAATGTTCAGCCGATCTAGATGGCAAATTGACTATATGAGTAAAATAGTATTAAACTTGACCTGAGTAACAATCGACTGTGCTGTCATTTGTAATAAATTTGGCCAAAATGTATGAACTTTTCACATGTCGCAATGATATCGATGAGCCAAAGATTTCAGAACCAATTCAGCACCTTCTGAATTGGTTTATTTTAACCCGAATTGTTATAGCATTTTTTGAATCCTCATCGAATGGCTTCTGAAATTCTAACATGCTATAAGTCGCTATGTAGTATTCAACCATCAAATCAAGCATTTCACTTGAAAGAATTATATTATTAGATGATAGTTTAAGGAATTCACCGGGAAATATTTCACTACCAGAAACATTCGATTCCCTAATGTTTCATGAATTTATCCAAAATCAGTGGATTTTATCAGTAGAAAATTGATCTGTATCCGATAAAGAACTTATAGAAGGATAGTTGTCTAGCAATTCAAGCCCTTTTACTTCAATACTACCAGAACTTATAATACTATCGATTTGACTATCAAACATTAATCGACGCATTAGCTCAGGTTCAATTTTTCTATTACTATTTGGTAAAGAATCTGAAAACCGTAAAAAAATGTTAAATCATTAGATATATAATGATTTATTAGATAATAATAATGAGTTACCTAATATTCCATTCATGCGTTCAAAAGAAAAACACCAGAATGCATATAACAGCCCATAATCTATTGAGCATTCATTTAAATGAAGAGAAAGATGGAGATTCAGCGTGATTTTGTTATGACTATGATTTTCTTTTATCAATTTTATTATTCTAATTAATCTTTTATAAGCTTCATGCAATAGATCCAATTTTACAATTTGGTTTACCAAAATTATACAAATTCTCACGAAATTTGTAAGAATTTTTTTTATCTACAATCGAAAGATATTTCCAAAGTGAAACAGTAGCATATATAGTAAAGAATATTCACCACTAATCGGCTGTGAAATTAGAAAATCCCTTTCCTTCATGAATTTTATCTGGAATTCGACTTAAATCGGATGGAATCTGAAATTCATTCATTTTTTCTGAATCTTATTCAAGGAATTTGATGTTAAAATCCCCTCATCAATCCAGATCCGTTTTACTATCTATCATGCAATACCTAAAAATAAGCAATGCATTGGATCAATTGTAATAAATTTTATAGGATCAAAATATGGTAAACGTAATAATTCAGATCATCTTGCACCATTTGTTTTACAAATCACTTTTGTGAGTGTCCAAATTGCAATATCTCCATTCTAAAGCATTCTAGTAATGTTCAATTAGATCTCGCATAAAGAACCAATCATCAAAATTATCCATTTCGGCAAAATTATGCTGCCAATTTTTATAATTCAACTTCTTTTTACATCTATGACATGACACTAATGCTAAAACATGACCACAAATTTTTCTTGCCACAGGAATATCACATGAAACTAGGATTAATGCTCATAAATCCTTTTACCATTTTTACATTCATTTGTTTGATTTATTGTTATTTCATCCCAAAGAGATTCCAATTCATCAACGATTGGTGCTAGATAGTGATTAATTTTATGTAAACTGACTTCGCTTGGTCTGGGTAAAAGACCGAGAGTCAGTAAATTTTTACGTTTGAATCGTATATTATGTAGCAAATTGCATATAGCAGCATATATTACTCCAATGCTATAAACAATACCATTATATGGCTGGAACCAGTCAAGATTCAGCATTAATCCAAGGTGAGAATCAGCCACTTTATCTTGAAAAAATTTTGGTGAATCATTCTCAGAAGATTCTTTTAACGTCTGCCATACTTGACTATCATATATGTCAGTTATAATGTTGACAAAATGCTAACGATTCGCCCAATGTTTCAAATTAATTTCAAAATGAGGCTGACGATACATGGAAGTGAGTTGTTGTTATATTCCACAAAAAGGAAAGATTAAATTAGGTCAAATTACTGTTCGATTTGTCGATATGACAATTTTTGAGATAATGGTATATTGCAAAAGCACGATTTGCGAATTGACGAATTGAGAAATTCTACATGTCGATATTTCATTATAGTTAACATATTATCTTGTCTAAAATTTACCACTTCCTGTTTTTGGTACAGTTTATGACATTTGAAGCAAGGAATGAAATGTTGAAATCTGTCTTTTATTCAAAGTACTTTCTTTGTTAAGAACATTGAATTGGAAAGTTATTGAAATTGTTACCTTCAATTTCTGTCAAAACCAATTTCATAAATTTTATCAAATTCTCGGTTGCAGACTCTGTAATGTTGAATCTTGTCCGAAATGACATGATCCAAATTAATATCCACAAAAATTGGTCATCATCAATTGATTCTGTACTTGGTGAATCTCAAAATAGCTCATAATCCGGTGATATATAATCCTCAAATGTTTCAAAATCACCATTATCATCAGATTCACCATTATCAGATTCACTTATAATTTCATCTTCTTCAGTAGTAAATTCAGAAGATTCTGAAAGTTGATTAGCTTCGATTTTAGAATCATCAGAAGGATTTATACTGGATTTGGAATGATTTGTGTACATCTTCGAGGTAAGAAAGTAGAATCAAAATCCTCTTGATGTTTATCATCAGATTCATGTTTAATGTTCTGCTTAGCAGAAGTTGATGTTGATGGTTCTCCTGTTTCTTCTTGAATTTCAAATTGATGAAATGTATCTGAAATAGAATTTTGTGAATCTTGAAATCTACTTCTTGCATCACAAAATGTTAATGGCCTTGAAGTAGAGATAGATTCTTTATCAATTAAACTAGCAATCGATCTATTTCTTCTTCTATGAGAAGATGTATTAGAAGTTTGACTTGATGACGATTCCTCATAATCATCATCAAGTATGCTAGAAATCGACCTTTTTCTACTTATTATTTGATTTTATATTTGAGAGAATTAAGAAAATCAAAGTT